GTTTGTAACTTTTTTGTTTGTTTGGTTTTTTTTAAAAATTTTTTGGGGGGTGGGGGTAATTAGATTTTATTTATTTATTTTTAGAGGAGGTACTGGGGATTTGAACCCAGGACCTCATGCATGCTAAGCATGCACTCCATGCTTAACTGTTTTTTAGAAGAAACAGCTAAGGCCTGAGAAATAATTTTATCAAAGTTCCTAATTTAGTAAATGAAATTGGAAAGGATTATAACACAGCTCTTTTGCCTCTTTAGAGTATTGTTTTCCCCTCATGTCAGAATGTTGACAAGTCTTATTTCATTTTGACTCATTTGTTTTATAGTTAGTGATCTGAAGACGTGACTGGATTGTTAGGATTTCTCTGTATTTGACAATTGGATATTATAATTTTTCACCAAGTTTCTTACCTCCCATTCAGCGAGGTAGCTAGTTAAAACTTTATTGCTAACGAGTCTCAACCACTTCCCTGATTATTGTTTGTATTCTTGTTGATGAATGTAAAATTGTTTTGTTCATATGTAGTGAACAAATAGGAAATAGGAAAAGCATCAAAAAGAATAAATGAGAATAAGAAAGTAGAAAATACAAGTAAGAGAAAAGATATCTCTAATCCCATACTTAGAGGTGGTAATTGGTAAATATAGATGTGGTTAATGATGGTTAGATTTTAAGTGACTTTTTAAAATAGGAATATTCTATACTTACTGTTTTACAACTTGCTGTTTTCATTTACTGTATGGTAAGTATCTGTAATGTCATTAAATTTTCTTTTGAAACGGTATTCTTAGGTTGTAGTATATATGATAGTCACCAGAGGGGTTTTTTAAAAATTTGGATTCCTAGGCTTTACCAGCAGATTCTTCTGATTCAGTAACTTTGGGATGAGGCCCAAGCATCTGCATTTTAATAACACCTAGATGATTCTGATGAATCTGTCCTGATTGAGCAATTTTCCCCCTACGTCTACATAGTGTCCACTATATAAATATATTTTAATTTGAGAAATGAATCCCTTATTGATGTACTTTTATGTAGTTTTCCCTTCTGTTTCCTCCCCTTTTATAAGCAGTTGATGGCTGTTTATTTCTAAATTCTTAACAAGAGAAACTGTTGGTTCAATGGATATATACATTTTTAGGACTTTGATACATATTGACAGATTGCCTAGCGATATCTTTAAATTAACATTCTATCCCTGAAAATTATTCTACTTTTTCTTCTATTTAGTTTATAGCTCTATTTTGTAGGTGGAATTTTGCTTTTTCTAGAGAGAATATAAATTTTTGTTCTCATTAGTTACTTGTTTTTTTTACCACAGTTGTGAGTTATTTTTATTTGTTAACCTAGATCATCAGTAATGTGCCAGCAGACAGCTTGATTCGTACAGAACGCCCACCAAATAAGGAGATACTTCGATACTTTATACGACATAACGCATTACGGGCTGGTACTGGTGAAAATGCACCTTGGGTGGTAGAAGATGAATTAGTGAAGAAATATTCTCTGCCTAGCAAGTTCAATGACTTTTTACTTGATCCATACAAGGTAAGGTCACTATTAATTTTTACAGAGCAGGTTAGAACACCATTAAATGAGTTTATTTTCTCTGATGGCTCCAATAGGATTAGACTTACAGTAGATTTTGAACTCTTTAACTTCAGGTAAGAATTCAAAAGTTTTCATGTATAGCTGTTTCATATAGGTTGTGATATGGGGTTGGTAAGGGAGAGGCCACATTGAATATCTCCTCTACTAATTTGATTTATTTTTACTGTGGTTGCATAATTAAAACAAAGAAACAAACTACATGCATGAGCTTTTTTGCTTCAGATCTTTCTTGGAATGAGGTATGGTGTAAATACAAAAAATCTTTTGCAAATTGATTCTTAAAAATGAAAACTGATCTTGTATGTCAGATAAGATCAAATATACTGGCAGCCTTGAAAAGGACTTGAAATAAGTATTACTTTGTATGACAAATAAATAGGAAATCTAGCATTTCCCCCTGTAGAACTGGTGTTGATATCACTAACAGAATTATATTGAGAAATACTTACATTTCTTCAAACATTGGAAAAGACCTCCAGCTATAGTTCAGCATTAGTGTGTTTTCTTATTCTACAGCAGCATGATCAAGCATTATCTTCCATTATGCTTTTTAAATTTTTATCATTTGTATAAAAAGGAAAATTTAGGAATTACTTGTCTTTTTCTAGATCAGGACTAAATTTTCCGTGGAACACTATAAACCTAAACTTTTTCTTAAATATTTTTATTTACTGAGGGGACATTTTAATTCATTGTTGTCTCACTGCAGTAGAGTTTTGGGACTGTGATACAGCTTTTTGGGGTTAGAACAGGAACTTACTATCCTCACTGTACATAAGTCTTACATAAAATCACCTCTAAATGGATTTTAAGAGTCTTGGATCATTTGAGTCCTTATATATTTTCCTTTTTTTAAATCTTACAGCTGTTTTTATTTTAGTTTAGTAACTCAAATATGTAAATAATATGAAAGAGTGAGTATTATTCATGGGTAAAAGGTCTTTGGGTTTTATTAGAACAAAAAAGCTGATCCTCATTTTTTTGTAGGAGCCAGAGACTGGAATTCCAGGACTTTATATCTTGAAAAGCAATTTCTGAAGAAATTGGCTATTCTGAAATTTTCTAATGAGGACTTAAAATATTAACTTAATGAAATTTGGCTATAATTGAGATTGAGACTAGGAAGAGCAAGCTTGTTTAGATTCAACTGCTGTAAGAAGGCAGTGATTCTACAAATTTAGGGCATTCACTTATCTTTTTATTTACTTTGCATACCTTAAACAATAATTTCTTACTCCCCAGTACTATTTGACATTTCACTGAGTTTGTCTTTTAAGTTTTGCATATAAGTGATGTTTATTTTTCCTTTTTATAATATAGTTTTCTTAAAGAACTTTTGGCATCGCAGCCAGGACATAATATAGTAAAGGCATAGATAAATACATCATAAAATAGTGCTTTGAATTCTTACCTGATCTAAAGGAAATTTAAAATTAAAGTTGATCTCTTGTGATCTGCCTGTCCCAAAGGCAGCGGGTTTATGCTTGCTTTGGCAGCACACACACTAAAATTGGAACCGAAGGCAATAGGTTAAATTTTTTATTCTTTGATTTTTGTAGAATTTAATGTTCTGCTAGGCTTCTGAGTACAACTGTAGTAGAGAGAGATGAAGCCTGGAGAGAGGAAGCAGTTGTGAATAATAGTTTTAGGCAAGGACCAACAGGGAGAACTTAGGTGGGAGAGAGGAAAATTGTTTAGAAATGCAGAATTTTGGAGTATTATCTGAGTAGGGCATAGTATGATGATGGCGGTGAATTTGTGGTCTTATAAACTCTAGAGTATAAATTGCTTGAGATTAGAACTGTTCTACTTATTTTATTCCTGTGATGTTTAGCATGTATATAATATGTACGTGGCTAGTGAGTTCCTTTCTTAAAGGAGTTCTGTTCATTGAGGAGAAAAATGTAACTGACTGTTGGGTTTAGGGGTAAAAACTTTTTAGGCCTAATGGCTTGGAGGAATGATTTACAAGGAACTTGGATGATAAAATAACTGTCATCTAAGATGAAATCAGCCATCTTAGCTCCCTCTTGTAATACATTGCAGCTCTTATGTTTTGTTAGTCTGTCCATAATGTTTTGAATTCTTATTTTGGACTTGTGTATCCTAGTAGGGACGCTTTTGGATGGAGATATAACAAGGAAATTATACATTTGGAATCCTAAAGTAATTTTGATTGATTTAATACGGTTCTTAATACATTTAAAAAACATTTTGAAATAATTTCATATAAAAAGCTGATGTATTTGTAAAGAATTTCTGTGCTCTTCAAGGAGATTCCTTGAATGTTAACATTTACCACATTTGTTTTAGTGTTTTGTCTCTAGACACACACATTATTTTTTTTGAGCCATTGGGAGTAGGTTGTAAGACAGGATGCTCTCAAGAAATACTTGAATATGTATTTCCTAAAGGACAGAGATATTGTCTATCATAACTGTGGTACAGTTATCAAAATCAAGAAATCAACATCAAAACAATACTGTTACCTGATTTATAGGTTTTTTTTGTTTTTAAAGTAAACATAATCTCAAGGTTTTATCTTCATAATAAAATACGAAGCTTAGAACTGGATCACTTGGCTCTTACTCTTATGTCTTCCCAGCTCAAAACGCTTGCATCTTTTAATAGCCAGCATTCTCTTAGATCTGCAGGTGGGCTCAATGCATTCAAACCTCAGCACAATATTTGTAATTTTACTCTTTTTCCATAGCCGGCTTAGTCTATCCATTATAACCATTCTGCTCCCTATCATAACGTTGCTTTTCCTCGGTGTACAGAGAGTGCTTGCCCATCTTGTATTGTGTCACTTTGTGGGGTTTTTGGCAGGTTTTAGGAACTTTAACCATGTTTATGAGAGCATTGTCACCATGGAAAGAAGTGATACACACTTTTTACTCCAGTTTTGCCAGTTGTCCCAATAACATTAGCTGAGCAAATTTTGTTTTGGTTTTAATAGGATCCAATGCAGTATCCATGTATTACATTTACTTGTTAATGGCACTTTAGTTTCCTCTAAACTGGAATGATTCCTCAGTTTTCTTTGTTTTTCAAAAACCTTGACATTTTTAAGACTACAAGTCAGCTGTTTTGTATAATGCTCCTCAATTTGGGTTTATTTCCTCATGGTTAAGAATACCACAGATTTGATGTTGTATTCTTCTCAGTGAATCGTATCAGAAGGCACGTGGTGTAATTTTGTCTCATATTGATATTGTCTCATAAGTGATATTAATTACTATATATTTTTAAGGATATTTTTGTCTCCTAATAACTCATATTTCAAGTAAGCATTTATAGTCCTAAGATTTTTCTTTGAATAAATTTTGGTGCTTGAAGTTTATGAGTCAGGGACTAGAGCAGAAGTACTTTAAAAAATAAATTATATTAATTTTCAAAGCACTTAAAATATTTTATAATAACACATTTCACAGATTTGCTGATAGAGGCATCTAGTGATCGAGACAAGCCTAGTATGTGAATGTTGCCTTGAAACATTGAATGAGAAGAGTGAAATATGAATCAGAATAGATTGCCAAAGATTTCTGATTTAGGGTTCTTGCTGCTTACTGTTAAATTTAACATCTGAATGAGCTGCTATAAATAAAGTTTCTTCATCTTAATCCTATTTATTAGATTTACTTTTTTCTGATGGTGGTTCCAGGTGACAGGGAGCGAGGATGGAATTATAAACATTACTTTTCTTATAACCTCTCATGTTGCTGAGACATACATAAACATTTTTTTTTCCTATTTAGCAGTTAGGAAAGGCCTTTGCCAAAAAATTGTAATACTGCTAATTCAGATGCCCATTCTTTTCTCCCTCCCTATGCACTACTCTAGTAGATTACTTATGCTGAATGAGGGGCAGGGGAGACCCTTAGCACATAAGTGGTTTTATACTTTTTCAGATTCCCCCTGAGTCCAGCCATGCCGGCTCCCGTTTGGCTGTGACTGCCCAGTATGCCCTATGCTGAGATGATCCAGTTACTGAAGGACTGCTTACGCGGGGAGCTGGCCTGTTGGGAGGGGGTAGGGTGAGTTAATTTCTTTCATTTTTAAGAAGAAAAATTATATGGTGTGGTTTGGCAGAAAACACACCTCATAAGTAAAAATGGGCTGCTGGACTGTCTCATGGCTAAGCCATCCCAGCTTGCATCATTTCTGCATAATACAGTGCTTCTAAGTGGAAGAAATTTATGCTAAATGTATGTTAAATTTGAGTGACTTTTCCAATTGAAAGAAATAAAATAAGTAAATTAAGAAGTAGCCCAATTATAATAGACCTTATTACAAGATCTATTTAAAATTATAAAAATGAAACAGTCTCAACACATCTCCTTTTTAATGATTAATTTTATTTTACTTTTTGGGGGTTTTTGGCTTGAGGGGGAGATAATTAGGTTTATTTATTGATTTACTTTTTAGAGGAGGTACTGGGGATTGAACCTAGGACCTCCTGGGAGTTGAACATAGGACCTCATGCATGCTAAGCATGCCCTTTACCATTTGAGCTATACCCTACCCCCTAAATTTTATTTTAGAGTGACTTTAAAAATAATCTGTTATCCTGAGCATTAGAAAAAGTAACAGTCTATTATGTCTTTATACTCTGAAGATTTCCAAGACCAGCTGAAATGGATGATTAACTTTTGGAAGACATGTATTTGTCTTTAATTCCTGCCAGGGTAGTTTTGGGTCTTAACTATATGATTTGTTGGGGGGGTGGTCTCTGAAATATTGTTCTCTTTGGAGTATTGGTACTGTTACTGTACATGAGAAGAATAGACTCTTACATAAGTTATTTTTGCTTATTCTCTTTAACATTTTGAAATACATTTCTGGGAACTAGAACTGGGAAATTCTGGCTCTGGGGAAAGTATCCTCTGAGTCACAGATAACATTTATATTCTGTGAACTATGAAACCTCTTTGTCAGCCCATACTGAGGATGATAATCGGGGAACAAAACATCCAGTTGTGGTCAGGCAACAAAAACAACCAGCTAGAGGAACAGTAACCTGCAATTGCCGATAATTCTTGAAAGGCAGATTGGCCTTTAAAGTTAGAGAGAGAACTTAGCCAGAAGAAGGGTTTGTTTAGCATAGCCCACTCATTAATTGCAGACCATGTTTCTGCCTCTTGTGCTATGCTGCTTAGGTTCTGTGAGTTTGTTTCTCTGATGATTGTATCCTTAATGTTTAAATCTTACTTGGCTTTGTAGTACAACTTATTAAATTTTATTACACCTGTTCGTTTACTCATAACAAGAGCATAGGTGTTCTTCTGTATCATCTCTGGGATTTATTTCACCATAACCAGTTTCCCTATTGCCTTTTTAAAGGGGCTCCTAATTTCATGTTTGATGGTCCTTGGCTGTTTCCTTGCCTGTAGTCTCATCTCACACTGGCCTGCCTTATTCACTGCCTCCAGACTGCTTTTTTTTTTTTTTTTTTTTTTTTTTGGTCTAGTTAGTCCTTTCTACTCAGAAATCTGAAGTTAAACTCAGCAATCTCTGAGTGCCTTCTGTGTGCTTAGCTGCTTTTGGTCAGAAGTCAAATATTATAGAGGTTATCTAGTCTTTCTCCTAATCACTTGAAACAATAATTTTTATTTAACTGTACTTTTTCATTGCTTGGTTATTATTTCATTTAGTTGGTGTTTTAGCTGCCAGACTTTTTTCTTTGTAATTGTATTCTTTTAAAGCATCAAAATCAATAGCATTTTTGTTTTAATACTCATTTAAACAGAAACTATGGTATCATGACAGGTTGACTGGGTTCTAACCTATTAACTAGTTATTAACTAATTCTGTGTGATGGAGATAAGGTGAAAGTTTTAAGAGACAGGAGAAGATGTGTATCTAAGAGTGAGATGGTAAATGGACTAAGGGAATATGTTGTGATTACTAAGTGGCATTCAGGATCCATTTGAGGTACCTGATGATGAATTTAAAGTAAGACCACATACTTTCATTGTATCCTTTATTTTAGTCATGTTTAAGCTGAACATGCAGGCCAGGAGTGACTAGATAACAGAGCAAGAGAGACAAGGGGACCATAGATTTGTGCAAGATTGATTATAATGGTTGACTATGGAATTTAATCTGGGTAAAGAAGGACAGGGAAGTGAGATTGGTGGAAATGTGATAGAATTAATTGATTTAGGTCCTGCTGAGATTGAAGGATTACAGAGTTGGGGTACTAGAGGGAGTGGATTTGAAAGATGTGAGGAGATGATCAAAGAGAGAATTGCATAAAATTGAGAATTTACAGGGCTTATAGTTAATAATGGACTCATGGGGGTGCATTCTCTAGGTATGGGGGAAAGACGTAGAGGAGGTTGAGGAAACTGGAAGCCACGATCAGGAAGCCACGATCAGCTCGCAACAAGAACTTGCGAGCAGTGTTCTTGTTGTTGTTAGTATACTTACTGATACTCTTAATAAGAAAATATGCTTCTGAATTTAGACAAAAATACTTAAATGATATACTTTATACTTAAGCATAGAATAGCCCCAGTTGTAGCAAAGGTTTAAAGGATAAAAATCCAATCCTGTCTCAAGAGCAATGCTTTCAAAATTCCTCAGATGTTGCCATTATGTAGATTGGGAATCATTAATCTCCAGACCCAGGGATGAACTCTAAAGTTGTGTGCATAATTTTTATATGTTTCTGGGGAAGGAGTTCACAGATTTCTTTAAAGTATTTACGAACTATTAATATGTATACAAACAGGAAACTAGTTGCATAGCAAAAATGCCTAATATTGGAGTATAGTTTTTAATTCTAAGTATCAAGAGAATTTTGTGTTTATATGGCTAAAACATTAGCTAACATTCGTGTCTTTGTTTTTTCTGGGACATGTCTGTGAAGAGAAATGAATATTTAGCTTTTCCTGAATAGATGGGGAAGAAGACTTTTAAGATGCTTAATATTACTTCTTTAAATTAGTTTTTTAAATTAATTTTGCTCCTGTTATTAAATTCTAGTACATGACTCTCAACCCTTCTACTAAGAGGAAGAATACTGGATCTCCAGATAGGAAGCCCTCAAAGAAATCCAAGACAGACAACTCTTCTCTCAGTTCTCCGCTAAATCCTAAGTTATGGTGTCATGTACACTTGAAGAAATCTTTGAATGGCTCGCCACTGAAAGTGAAGAACTCAAAGAATTCCAGATCTCCAGAAGAGCATCTGGAAGAAGTGATGAAGATGATGTCACCCAACAAGCTACATGCTAACTTCCACATTCCTAAGAAAGGCCCACCTGGCAAGAAATCAGGAAAGCATACTGACAAACCTTTGAAAGCAAAGGGCAGAAGCAAAGGTATCCTGAATGGACAGAAATCCACAGGGAATTCCAAATCTCCCAAAAAGGGCTTGAAGACTCCTAAAACCAAAATGAAGCAAATGACTTTGTTGGACATGGCCAAAGGCACTCAGAAGATGACCCGAGCCCCACGGAATTCTGGGGGGACACCTAGATCGTCTAGTAAACCTCATAAACATCTGCCCCCTGCTGCCCTCCACCTTATTGCCTACTACAAAGAAAACAAAGACAGGGAGGACAAGAAGAGCGCCCTGTCCTGTGTGATCTCCAAAACAGCTCGCCTCCTCTCTAGCGAAGACAGAGCTCGTCTCCCAGAAGAATTACGAAGTATTGTTCAAAAACGCTTTGAGCTTCTAGAGCACAAAAAGAGGTGGGCTTCTATGTCTGAAGAGCAGCGCAAGGAGTATTTGAAAAAGAAACGAGAGGAGCTTAAAGAAAAGTTGAAGGAGAAAGCCAAGGAGCGGCGAGAGAAAGAAATGCTTGAGAAACTAGAAAAACAGAAGCGGTACGAGGACCAAGAGTTAACTGGCAAAAACCTTCCAGCATTTAGATTGGTGGATACCCCTGAAGGACTGCCCAACACACTCTTTGGGGATGTGGCCATGGTGGTGGAGTTCTTGAGCTGTTATTCTGGGCTACTCTTGCCAGATGCTCAGTATCCTATTACTGCTGTGTCCCTTATGGAAGCCTTGAGTGCAGAAAAGGGTGGCTTTTTATACCTGAATAGAGTGTTGGTCATCCTCTTACAGACCTTACTACAAGATGAAATAGCAGAAGACTATGGTGAATTGGGAATGAAGCTGTCGGAAATCCCTCTGACTCTACATTCTGTTTCAGAGCTGGTGCGGCTCTGCTTGCGCAAATCTGACGTTCAGGAAGAGAGTGAGGGCTCGGACACAGATGACAATAAAGATTCAGCATCATTTGAGGACAATGAGGTACAAGATGAGTTCCTAGAAAAGCTAGAGACCTCTGAATTTTTTGAACTAACATCAGAAGAGAAACTACAGATCCTGACAGCACTCTGCCACCGGATTCTCATGACTTACTCAGTGCAAGACCACATGGAAACCAGGCAGCAGATGTCTGCAGAGTTATGGAAGGAACGGCTTGCTGTATTGAAGGAGGAAAATGATAAGAAGAGAGCAGAGAAACAGAAACGGAAAGAAATGGAAGCCAGAAATAAAGAAAATGGAAAAGATCCGGAGAATGGGTTAGGCAAAGTTGATAGGAAGAAAGAAGTTGCGAAGTTTGAGCCCCAAGTCGATATGGAAGCTGAAGACATGATTAGTGCTGTGAAGAGCAGACGGCTGCTTGCCATTCAGGCTAAGAAGGAGCGGGAAATTCAGGAGAGAGAAATGAAAGGTAAAATCTTGCATTGAGAGAAAAGGGGAAGACTGTTAGAAGGAAGGAGATTACTAAAGTAATGATAGTGTCTTCATTTGTCAGAACTGCTTAGTTATTTCCGTATGTAATAATCCAGACTCTTCTAGGTATGTAACATTCTAGTAGGAGTTTTCAGCCTGGCATTCTATAGTTAATGATAGTTTGACTTGGATTAATGTGATGTTGTCATCTTTCCTGGCTCTAATAAAGGACCAAATCCACAAATAGACATAGTGGAATTACCATATGACTTGGGAATGGGCTGACCTGGGTTCATACCCTACCTCTAACTTAGCCATAGTTCTTTGAGTAAATTGCTTATCCAAGCCTCAGTTTCCTCATATGCTTAAGATTACAACAGTTGAATAACAAGGTATTTGAAGCCCTCAGTATAGATGCCAACTCAGATATTAATCTTTGCCTTATTAAGATACAAGAACATATAAATATTGGGCTTTGATAACACCGTTGTCTGAACTTAAAAAAAAAGCTTTATCAAGAAATAATCCACATACTGTACAATTCACCTGTGTATAATGTACACTTCAGTGTTTTTTAAAAAATGTATTCACAGATATGTGCAGCCTATTTTAGAACATTTCCATCACCTCAAAAAGAAACCCCAGAGCAGCAGAGGGTATAACTCAGTGATAGAGTTCATACCTAGCATGTATGAAGTCCTGATTTCAACCCTCAGTACCTCCGTTAAAAATAAACAAACAAACCAACCTAATGATCCCCCCCCCCAAAAAAAAGGAAAGAAAGAAACCCCAGGCCCTTTAGCTGTTATCACCCCATCCACCCACCCATCCTCCCCAGCCCTAAGCTGTCACCAGTTCACTTCTGTCTATATATTTGCCTGTTCCGATATATCACATCAGTGGAGTCATATAATAAGTATGTAGTCTTTGGTGACTGGCTTCTTTCACTTACCATGTTTTCAAGGTTCATGTTGTAGCATATTGCAGCACTTCCTTTTTATGGCTGACTAATACTCCATTGTTTGGACATACAACATTGTTTATCCATTATTGGCTGATGGACGTTTGGTTTGTTTCATCTTTTTTGGATATTAAGAATGGTGCTGCTTTAAGCATTGGTGTTGGTGTACAAGTTTTTGTGTGCACGTATATTTTCACTTCTTTTTGGTATATATACATAAGAATGGAATATCTGGGTCATGTGGTAACTGTTTAACTGAGGAAAGTAATAAACTGTTTTTCACAGTGACTACACAGTTTTAAATTCCTGCCAGTAGTGTATGAGAGTTCTGATTTCTCCACTTGTCTTCATCTTCGCAAACACTTGTTATCATATGACGCTTTGATTATAGCCATTCTAGTGAGTGAAGGAAGTCATATCTAAGAATCTGTTGCCGGGGTAGGAGAGGGGAGGGAGGGTATAACTCAAGTGTATAGTGCATGCTTTGCGTGTGCTAGGTCCAGGGTTCAATCCTCAGTACCTCCATTAAAAATAAATAAATAAACCTAATTACTTCCCTGAAACAAACAACACAGAATCTCTTGCCAGATCCAAGGTCATGAAGATTTACTCCTGTGTATTCCTCCAAAAGTCTTCGGGTTTTAGCTCTTACATTTAGGTCTTTGATTCATTTTGAGTTAATTTGACTCATTGACTTATTTCTGGATATGTCTGTCTTTATACCAGTACTACAGTGTCTTGAATGGAATTGAGAATCCAGAAATAAGTCAGTTATTAATATGGAGAAACAAATGACAAAGAATATTCATTTTTGCTGAGATCAGTATTTGAATTAGAGAGCTCAGGTCTTTTTTTTTTCCTTTATTTTTGGCGGGGTGGAGGGATAATTAGATTTATTTATTTGTTTACTTAATGGAGGTACTGGGGATTGAACTCTGGACCTAATGCATGCTAAGATTGCACTCTGCCACTGAGCTATATCTTCCCTCAGCTCAGGTCTTTTGGTTGTTTGTTTGTGGCTGCAGAAGGAGCTTTTCCTTTATTGTGACTTGGCCATTATTATTTTTATCATTTACCTTTCTACTAATTTCTACTGTAATCACCATTGCAAACATACAGCTCCATTCAGGCTAGAGAACTATTTATTAAGATAACAGACACAAAATTTTTAAAAACGAGATTTGTCTTATTTTTTCAGTAACATCTTTAGACTGATGCATTTTCCAGATTCTTGCTACATTGTAGGTGTTCTTGCTACATTGTAGGTGTTTGTCATCAGTAGAGAATCAGTGGTAAAAATTCTGGCATAGTGAATAGCTTGCACTTACAATATCAAAATTTGTGACAGTTGTGGAAAAACTTAAAAGGCAAGGTTCCTGGGCTCTGTCCGTTGAGGGAAATTTCTATCTGGATAGAATAAACCTATATAACGAATGATAAGAGATAAACTGGTTAAAACTTTTTCCTCCATCATTAATAGTAGTAAGTTACTGAAGAACTCAAAAAATAATATTCAGTAGGCAGTTACTGTTATCATCTGCAGATGCTTCCCTGCCCTTGCTTTCACAATTCTTTTTTGTAAATTTCTTAGGACTGAAATATGTTTTATTTTGAAATAGCTGTTCTCGTTTTATTCATGCTGATCATTTTGAGGATCTTGTGACTGGTGCAGTCAGAAAATGTTTCAGTTAATTCCATTTAAGGACTATTTCAAGGTTACAGTTGAAATTTTCAGTAAAAATAAAATTAACTTAATTATTAAAATTAATCAGTTAAATTTTGGAGAGAAAAGATTTTGCACTGAGTTGCTGGCTGAGACATCACCAAAATTCAAAGAACAGGAGGACCAGATAGGAATTGCTGCCTTACACATCATTTCTTGTAACAGATTAGAATTAGAAGGAAACTTAGATTTGATGAAAATTTACTTTGTACCAGGCACTTTTCACTCTATATGTTATTTAAATTTGTAAGAATGAGATTTACTAGAAAAAAATTTAGTTGCTTCTTTCTGTCTTTAACAGTGAAACTAGAACGCGAAGCTGAAGAAGAACGAATACGAAAGCACAAGGCAGCTGCTGAGAAGGCTTTCCAGGAAGGGATTGCCAAGGCAAAGCTAGTCATGCGTAGGACTCCAATCGGTACAGATAGAAACCATAATAGGTAAGTTATTAAATTTAATTTTTGCCATCTTTTAGGGCTGTTATATGGTGGTTACTAGTTAGTACTAAGACTAGACAAGCTTCCCTGTTTGTGGATGTTGGAAACAGAAGTGCTCATCACACACTTAACTTAAATACTTACTGTGCCACATGCTAGAGTACGAAGTTAGGTAAGACATGACCCTGTTCTTGAAAATACCAAAGATATGAAGCTTAAATTACGGTGAAAGGAGAAATGTAATCCAAATAGAGGTCTTTAAAAATGGTAAGATATTTTAAATGCATGCTTTGTGTAGAACCTAAAATAGAGAAATATTGGAAGTTATAGAAATTACAGATATCATTAAATGAATCTCAAATTCCAAAAATTTTAGTGTTCTGTGCTTCACTTTAGAATTTGTATCTGCTGGATGTTCAGTGATACTCTCTAATCATCTTCCTCAACAGTGAAGTCATTCTGTGTTCGTTATCGTCTTATTAACTAACGTGTGGTTGTGATTTGTAGATACTGGCTCTTCTCAGATGAAGTTCCAGGTTTGTTCATTGAAAAAGGCTGGGTACATGACAGCATTGACTATCGATTTAACCATCACCGAAAAGACCACGCAGACTCTCCTGATGAGGATTACTGTCCTCGTAGTATGTATACCTTTGTTATTTTACCCTGCTCAAGTAGGGTCTGTATTAAGACTGTCTTTCCTCTGTCACTTTTTTCATTTGCTCAGTTTCTTTCACCTTCTTAGGTAGATTTATTTGAGTGGGGTGGGAGGATGTAAAAGGCATAGAAAAAGGAAAGAAACTAACATTTGATTACCAACTTTGTTCCAGGCATAGTGTGAAAAAATAAAGAATTTGAATATTAAGATATTTGGGTATTCGATTTTATACAAGTAGTTTTCAAACTTTGTTCCTTGGAAATCTCTTTGTAGTTACTTCAAGGGCTGGAACATGGTAAGATGGACACGAAGGTCTTTTTCCTCCATTTAAAAAATTGATTTATTGAATATTTATGGAGCATCTCTTATGTGCCAGCCAGTTTTTCAAGTGCTATGATACAAGATAGCAAACAAGACATATAAAGTCTTGTTTTGGATCCTGAATGTCAGCTCACTAAAATTCATTGAGTCATTGAGAAGAGTCATAAGGGGCACTGATAATGTTCTTTTTCTTGATTTGGGTTCTAGAACATGAGTATGTTCAGTGTGTAAAATTAATGAAAAATGTACATTTCTAAATATATATACATATATATAAATATATATTTAGAAAAAATGTATATGTGTGTATGCGTGTATATATATATATATATATATATATGTATGTATGTATGTATAGGGTTGTCCTGTGCTTTGTAGGTTATTTAGCAGCTACCCTGACCTGTACCCACTAGATGCCATTAGTGACAACCAAATGTCTCCACCGATTGACAGATGTCCCCTTGGAGGCAAAATGGCTTTCTTTTGAGAACCACTGGGTTAGATGATCCATAAGCTTCCTTCCATCTCTACTTTCTATAACCTAATGAAAATGGCTTCTCAGAGAGTAGATTTCTTTCATTTTAGACAAACTCATAACCCAAACTTCAAACTCACAAAGGAAGTTAATATATAGACCAAAATTTCAAAGTTAAGGTATTTTCATGTTGAATTATACTGTGTGTTAGATTGTAGCACTTAGTAGAAAGGCCTCGTTCTGATAGACTTTGTAAGTACCCAGGTGAGGGTAGTAAGGTTTGAGGGCAGTAAATGTGAAGTCATGATCTTCAGACTTGAAAGATGCCAATCAGATGAGGGACTATGGTTTTACAATGTGTTGCAAAAGCTTAATGGCTATCTTTAGAAACTGGGCTCCCGAGAGAAGATTGGCATCCCCATCTGTTCACTTCTAGAGCATCTTGGTAGGTGTTATAGCTTCATGTTTTCTAGTTCCAGCCTGGCAGCATCTCTTCAGAATTACCCTACTGTAAAGACTAAACAAGGTTATGTGTTAGTATTGCAGTGAAGATGCTGCAGATTAGAGGGGAGAGAATGGGAGTAGGGGAGAGAACCAGTTGTAGAATTAGGTAAGGCCTCAAATATTGGCTTAAGGTCTACCTATAGTAATGTCATGTATACTAGTATACCGGAGCTGGTTTACAAAAAAGTTAATCATATTTGGTATTTGAAGCTTCCAGGGGTAAGTTTGTAGTAGTTTATATATTTCAGTTGTGTGTACCTCACCACAGTTGCCTTTGTGCTGAAACATGTACCAGGAGCAGATTATTTATTTGCTCTAAGTTATTTAGTCATCTCTCTCCATTTTAACTTGTGATACTCTTAAACTTTGACCTGTACCACTGTTCAGCTGTATAGTGAGCAACTATCTCAGATAATGTGCTGTAAGATGTCAGATGTTTAAGAGAAATGAGCATCTATTATACACGTGGATATATTTAATAGGCAGCATCTATGTTATTAGTTGTTGAATTTGGCAGTGTGTACTGCCTAAGTTTGAAACTAGGAATTGAGTCTTTACTATATTCAACCTCATGTATAAATTTTTCTTAGGTAAGAAAGCAAACCTAGGCAAAAATGTAAGCATGAATGCACAACATGGACCAGCAACAGAAATTGCTGTAGAGACCACCATACCCAAACAAGGACAGAACCTATGGTAATGTGAGCATTCGTCTGGCTGCTCTTTTTCTTTTTCAATGTTAAGAAAATATTTGATAATAGTGACACCTGTAGGTTAGTGATTATCTATTAAGATTATTTTATATGACTTTGATTTCTTGATGTATAAGCTCATTGCTTTAAAAGCAGACTTGATTATTTGCTAAGAATGTATTTGTTTACTTTAAGGTTTAGAGTTTTATTTTTTCCTTGTAACTTCCTATATTATATGATAGCATTGGAAATGCCTTTTAGTCTGCTTGGGAATAGAAATATTTAGGATTTTCATTTTTATTAAAGACTAAAAATTTGTAAACATAGCTATTAAATCTTCCTTTGTGTCTATTCTGCTTTTAGGCAGAGAGCTAGGTTTTTCCACTTTGTGATCGCATTAACTGCTTTAGCTGTGATCACCTTTGGTTTAATGACCTTTTATCTTTTATTTTTAGATATAATTTTACTCTTTGAAGGTATGGACAAGTGTGCCTATTAACTTTATAAAACTTGTCTCATATTACATTTTAGTAGGAAACATTGGCTCCAGTGTCCTAGGAAAGAGTTAGCATTAGGCCTCATAGAAACAGTAAATTGTTCTACTTATGAGCAAGGTTGGAATTCTGATTTCCCAACTACCACCATCAACCCTAGATCCTTCCCTTCCCTTCCCTTCCCTCCCCTTCCCTCCCCTCCCCTCCCCTCCCCTCCCCTCTTTTCTTTCTAATTAATGTATTGTCAGTTTACAATGTTGTGTCAATTTCTGGTGTACAGCATAATAGTTCAGTCATACACATACATATATTAGATCAGTTTCTTAGTGTTTCATTTTTTACTCCCAGAGTTAACAGGTTTTTTTTTTTTACCCCTACAGGTTTTTATGTGATAGTCAGAAGGAACTGGATGAGTTGCTAAATTGCCTTCACCCTCAGGGAATAAGAGAAAGTCAGCTTAAAGAGAGACTGGAGAAGAGGTAAGGATTTTTCATCTAACTGCTCACACCTTCTCTTCAGCATTAGATATTATACATATCTTAAGAGCTTTTGTTTGTTTGTTTATCTGTAAAAGTTATTAAAGTGAGAATTTAAAAAGCCTGTAACCCTCTTACGTTCTTGTTGTTTGATATTTTCTTGACATCTCATGCTTATTTGGAAGAGTGTGCTTTAAACCACGTACGTACAGATTAGCAGGATTATTCATTGACTGACACACCATGTATAGGGCTGAGAGCCTCAGTGCAGTTAGGCAGCCCTGCAAATGCAGTTCAATGTCGACTGGTATTCAGAAAGTATTCTGTCAGTATTCAAAATGAAAACAACCTAAATACTCATTAACTGATGGATAGATAAACAAAATGGAGTATATTCGTAATTCAAAAGTACTAATGTATATTACAGCATGGGTGAACTTAGAAAACATTATGCTGAGTCAAGTCAGACATAAAAGGCCACGTGTATAATTTCGTTTATATGAGACATCTCTGGTAGGCAAGTTTATAGTTAGAAAATAGATTAGTAGTTACCAGGGGATTGGGGATGGGGAGAACTGGGAGTGACTGCTAATAGGTATGGGTTTTTTTTTTAACGATGCGGTGAAAATGTTTTGGAATTAGGTAGTTTTGATGATTCTACAACATGAAAACCACTGAAAGTATATGCTTTAAAATGGTGAGTTTAATGTTATGTGGATTAGAACTCAAAAAAACAAAACAAAACGAAAGTGTCTACAAAATTGGCATCAGTATCAATGCTGTACAGATTTGCTAGTGTCCTTCCTGTTCTAGCCATTGTTTCTATCAAAGCCAGGACAGATTTTGGCTTAAGGCCACCTTAAATATCTGACTACATGCTTGAATTCAAGTTTAATTGAAGAGAGAAAGAAAATACTGTTCAGTACATACTTTGCAATTTTGCCAGACTTTTGTGTGTGATGATGGGTACTTCATTGGTTTTAGTCCACTGCCTAACGTGTAAATGAATTAAAATTGTATTCAGAATTGTGGTATCTTAATATAGATACGACGAGGCAGATTAAGAAAGGCAAGAGAAAATGTCAGTACACAGAACCACAAAGGAATACAGTTCTGGGATATTCCTTCTGTTTGGTTAAAGTATTTGATAGGCACATGTGTTGGATTGAAAGGACTTGTTCCTTCACTCAGTGTGAACAGATCAAATCCTTTCATTGAAAAGTTAGAGATTTTCACAATTAAAAACAAAATTTACACATTTTTCTTTGGTTTTGTTGGACATTAGGGGGAAAAAATCTTGTTTTGCTTGGTTTTGATCTTTTTAAAGACTATCAGGCAGTTTGTAGTCTTTGAGGCTTACTGCTCTTTACTCAGCATTATTTTACTGAAAAGCCATCTATGTTTTTTTATGACTGAACTTTGTCATATTCCTTTCTATATTACTGTTCCATGAATCTGTGTGATATTTGTGAATCCACCCCAATTTATTTTTGTGTTTTCTGGTTGGTGATTATTTGAGTTCCTCTGAGGGTGGCCAAGGGAATAGGATAATGTGTCATGAACCATTTGAGGTTTAATTTTATTAAACAAAAATATGTATACTCTTTTTAAGAAAAGATGTAAAATGATGAGGGATATAAATTAAAGGGTGTATACCCAGTCATAGCTCAGTTAAAATAATTTTTACAGAGTGTATCAGGCCAGTGAGAAACAAAGAAATGCTTTTTGTTATATCCAATAAAAATTGATCATACACTTAGCTCAACAAGTTAAAAAAGTACTAGAGTTTCAGAATATATTCTCTGATCAGATTGCAATAAAATTAGAACTAAATTCTTCAACAATGACCAAACAGCTCTTAATTGATAGGAAGTTAAATATATTTCTAGGTAACACTTAGATCAAAGAAGAAAATAAAAGGGAAATTATGTGGTATTTAGAAGGCAATGAAAGCAGGATCCTTGATAAGAAAACCAGGAGGACACAGTGAAGTTGTATTCAGAGGAAAATAATATTAAAACTCCTTGTTATTAAGAATGAAAAGGGAACTTAGTATTCAACTTTGATGATCTTGAGCTTTAGTTTTTATGTTGACTTAAGAAGCCAAGAGTGTACTTCAATAATAAAAATGAATGTATCCAAAAAAAAAAAAAAAGCCAATAGTGAAGCTTATGGCCCCTCCAGGGTAGAGAATCTTATTAGCGTTTCTGTGACTGTAACCACAAAGGGTTAATCTTCATTGTGAGAGTGAGGGTCCTTGTGTAGGTTTCAGGTCAGATTCATGTTTTTTCTGTGTTGTGAAGAATTCCAGGCAGATGATTTAAAATTGTCTTGGGTTGGTAGCAATTCCTGGCAGCTAACATAAGCAAATGCACATTCTCTCTAGAGCGGCATAACTTCAAACTAGACCTCAGAATGTCCACAGATTAAATTCCAAGAAATTCACAGTTAAAAAAGTAAAAAAAAAAGAAAAACAACGCAAAACACAAACCAAGTACCATGAATGAGAGTTAGGTAAAACAATACACTTCAGATACTAGAATTATCATATACGAACAAAGTAAGTATGTTTATGAATCAAGAATAAGAAATTTGAAATTTTGTGCAAGAAACATGAGACTATTGAAAAAACAAGGAAAGACGAAAGGATCTAAATAAATCTTCTGGAAATAAAACATGTCATTCAAGTAAGTTGAAATTTATAGACCATTTTTTAAAGTTCCTTTATTCCCCCTCCCCTTCATCCCAACTTTTCTAGGTACCAGGACATTATTCATTCTATTCATCTGGCCCGGAAGCCAAATTTGGGTCTAAAGTCTTGTGATGGCAACCAGGAGCTTCTAAACTTTCTTCGTAGTGATCTCATTGAAGTTGCAACAAGGTTACAAAAGGGAGGACTTGGTTATGTGGAAGAAACATCAGAATTTGAAGCTCGGGTGAGAACATAAAGAAAACACTGTTTGAATTCTGTTACTTATGGAAACTCAATTTGAATTGTTCCCTGATAGTGTTCTTGATGTCCCTAGATGAGCCTGGAAATCATTTGTTTCTTGAAAGACATGTGAAACCCAAAACTCTTTTTGTCCGTATGATCCTTTTCCTTAGTCATCATCTGCTGCCATCTAGAAAGAGCTAATCATTGGTTTAGAACCTTTGTTCAAAAAGAGATTTTCTATTAAGTTGAATGAAAACTAGTTTTGGAGTCTTATGTCATGTAATGTTTAACATATCCCGACGATGCCTGTGCTTTAAGGTATGAAACGTTTGTGGAGCCTGCTTTTGTTCATTCTCTACACCTGATTAGTTCAGTAAGAGTTATGCTTGTGTTGGGTAACACTCATGCTGTTAAATGAGTACATTTCAAGACCCATTTATAGTCCTGTCATTTAACTGCTCAGAAGGACCTTTAAGTAGTTTAGGTGAAATAGTTCAAGAGCTCTCATGTCCCACATTAGATAAGTTTGGATATCAAAGCTGGAGAAAAGATTGGAGAATACTAACCATCAATTATTACTGTAAAATATTTTTTATTGGTTTTAAATAATAAAGTCCACATAACTCTAAACAGATTAATATTTGTGGGTCTTCTCAAATTATTCATGTATTATAGCAGTGTGTTAATAGTTGTGTGATTTTTATGAGCAGTTGCACCCCCCCTCACTTACAAATACTTTCCATTTCTTTTAGTCTTTGTATCACTTTAGGTTACATAATAATCCATGGAGTTGATATGATAAATTTTGTACTATCAATCAGACTTTTGTATTTGTTTCTTTGCTGTTAGAATTAGCAAATTATGTATGCATCTTACATATGCAACTTTTTTCTTTTTAATTAGTTTGGTTATGAATTGTTGGTACATTTCCTGAGAAAAAGGATCTGAACATCTTTATTGTGCGTAATGATTTTTTTTTGGAATTATTCATCCCAAAGGATTTTGCAGTTTCAAATATTACATTTACTTTTTCTTTTTAATTTAGCAAATATTTATCAGTTATTTGCTTTGTACAAAATCCAGGCCCACACCTTGCTTATTAACACTGGGTTATTCTCATTCTTTGTTTCTTTTTGTAGTTACAATATGGTATTTTCAAATTAGCATGTGTTGTGTGACCAAGAAGGTAGTTTCAATCTTCAGGAGCATGATTTGGATCAAAGTGATTAAGCTTCTGTTTCCTCATCCATAAAATAAAGTGAGGCTTAGATGAGATCAAGTATGTAAAATGTTATTACCTGGTTTATAGTTTGTAAGTCAGTGGGCTGCTAATTTTAATTTTCCTTCTCAGTTTTTCTTTGCCTTGAGATAGCCATTTGCACATAGTAGGCACTCAGTCACTGAGTGAATGATGGGTCTGCAACTTCCTTAAGCAGAACAAGTTTCAGCATCCCATGGATCCCTTCATCAGGGAAATCCAAGTAGCTGGCTACTGTTAAGTGTGTAAGCCATCCATTGAACTGAAGAACCCAGTCAGGTTAATATTATGTGACCCTTTTGGGTCTAGGTTGATTTGAATTTAATCGAGGTTAATCTGGTTTCATCTTTCTCTTGGCCTTTCACTCAATCTGATTTTTAAATCATTTTCTGTAGGTCATCTCATTAGAGAAACTGAAGGATTTTGGGGAGTGTGTGATTGCCCTTCAGGCCAGTGTCATAAAGAAATTTCTCCAAGGCTTCATGGCTCCCAAGCAAAAGAGAAGAAAACTCCAGAGCGAAGATTCAGCAAAGACTGAAGAGGTGGATGAAGAGAAAAAAATGGCAGAGGAAGCAAAGGTACGGAGAACAAATGAAGATGTAGTTTTGTGACTGTGTGGAAGTGTGTGATCTGGTTTTAAAATAGTCTGACTATCCTTTTTAGCTACTGTAAGCACTGTTCCTCAGCCAGGATTCCATCCTTATCACTTTCTGTAAATGTTGTACTTTTCAAACTCATCTGTGAAGCATAGCCCTGTCTGCAGAGCTGGATAATGGGTCAGAGTGTCCCCTCCCGCCACCCCTATCTCCTCCCCGAGCTGATTCCTTTCTTTAAACGATGGTGATGTTTTTAAATTTTTAAAAATTGTAAAATATATATAGTAAACAATATAGCCATTTTCACATGTATGAGTCTATGTCACTAAGTGTATGTACATTGTTCTGCAGCTGTACCACCATCAATCTCCAGAATTTTTTCATCTCCCCAAACTGAAGCTATGCCCGTTAAACACTAAACTACTCATTTCATCCTCCCTTCAATCCCTGGCAACCATTGTTTTCTTTCTATCTCTGTGCATTTGACTATGGGTACCTCATATAAATAGAATCATAGAGTATTTGTTCCTTTGTTGACTTAACTTAGCATAATGTCTTCAAAATCATCTATGTTGTAGCATGTGCTAGAATTTCCTTCCTTTTTAAGACTGAATAATACCCATTGTGTGTATATACCACAATTTGTTTGTTGGTCCATTGATGGACACTTGGGTCACTTCCACATTTTGGCTATTGTAAATAATGCTGCCCTGGATATTGAGTGCTTGTTTGGAGGTTCTAACAGAGGAATGCAACTACTTGTGTTCCCTGACTGAAGAGTGGTCTTCCTCTATCAGAGAATGTTGTCCACTGTGACTGAGCTTGAAGCTTCGGGAGGGATGGGATGCACATGGGAGTGGTGAGGGTGGAAGAGGAGATCCACTTAGTCAGATCAGCGATCAGTTCTGGCTGTCAGCAAGATGACAGATATCATAGTCAGATTAGCCTTACATCCAGTAATGCTGCTGTGAACATGGGTCACAAATATCTGTTCTGGTCCCTACTTTGAATTTTTTTGGGTGTATACCCAGGAGTAAAACTGCTGGGTCACATAGTAATTCTGTTTAATTTTTTGAGGAACTGCCATAATGCATAGCAGCTGCATCATTTTACATTTCCGTCAGCAGTGCACACGGGTTCCACCTTCTCCACATCCTTGTAATGTTCTCTTCTTTTATAGTAGCCATCCTAGTGAGTATGAAGTGATATCTCATGTTTTAGATTTACATTTCCCTAAGATTAGTGATGTTGAACATCTTTTCATATGTTTATTGGCTACTTGTCTATCTTCTTTGGGAAGATGTCTTTTTGAGTCCTTTGGCTACTCTTTTTTTTGTTGTTTGCTTTTTGGTTTTTTGTGGGGGGGGGTAGGGAGATGTGTGAGTTCCTTACGTGTTCTGGATATTAATCCTTTATCAGATGTATGTTTCTCAAATGCAGCTTCCCATTCTGTGAGCTGCTTTTTCATTCTGTTAATAGTGTCTTTTGATGCACAAAAGTTAAATTTTGATGAAGTTCAGTTTATCTATTTTTTCTGTTGTTGCCTCTGCCTTTGGTGTCACATCCAAGAAATAATTGACAAAACCAATGTTATGAAGCTTTCCCCCTGTAGTATCTTCTATAAACTTTATAGTTTTAGCTTTTACGTTTAGATCTTTGATCTATTTTGAGTTAATTTTTGTGTATAGGATAAGGTAAGGGCCCAAATTTTTTGTATGTGTATGTCCAATTTTCTTTTTTTTAACATTTTTTATTGATTTATAATCATTTTACAATGTTGTGTCAAATTCCAATTTTCTCTTTTTTTAATTAAAAGTAGCTCATTTTAAGTAAAGCAGATGTGAGAGGTAGTGGGGAGAATATGAAACAATTCTTAGTTTCACTCCCCAAGGATATCACTCTTTAATAGTTTGATGTGTTTTCTATATTCATACAAAAATAATTTTGTTGGATTTTGAATGGAACCTTCTGCATAATATTCTACAGTGTTTCACTTATCAGCGTATACTGGGCATCTGTCCCCTCTCCCTGTCAGTCCATGTAGATCTGCCTGATACGATTAATTTTTTTTAACATCTTGCTTCCTTACTGATGAACATTATATTGTCTCTCTCTTTTTTTTTCTTTATTAGAATAATTAGCAGCTCCATTTTTTTTTCCTGTTTTGAGGATTAGATTTCTGCTTAAGATTACTTTTGAAGAAAAGAATTTGAAAACACTGCACTAAGGGAGCGGTTCCAGCAATTACCCAGTGGAATACTTTCCCTTGTTTTTGACTTCTCTCTCCTCCCCTCCTTCCCTCCCTTCATTCCTTTCTTTCACAAACATCCGGTAAAGGCTTGCCTGTGCCAGTCATTGTGCAGAGTCTGTAGGTTTTGGTGATAAGTAGAAGGCAGATGTCCTTGCCCTCAAGGAACTCAGTCTGAGTGTGAGAGATGGTTATAGTACTGTGACACGTATGGTGAGTGAGGGATGCCTGGGGCAGCTTAGACCTTCCCAGAGGAGAGAACACATCAGCTGAATTTTGAAGAGCAAGTAGGAATTAATCACATTGTGGATGGGAGGCATAGGGTTTGTTAGACTGAGCTGAAATTGGCCTTCTCATCATTGACGGCTGGTCCTTGTTTTGCCTTTTGAGTTTATACAGAATGAGTAAAGCTCCTTAGATATTTGTGCACAGTTGCCACGTTCCCCCTAAGTTTCTTCCTGAGGCCAAGGGTGATATGTGATACAAGAAAGATCATTTTGGGTAAGAGGTAAGCAGAGCAGAAAACTAAACTAAAACTCAGTTCAATAATGGTTTAACTATTAATTCATGGCATAGATTCAGAGACTTCACACACGTGTCATTACCTTACTGGAATAAAGCATCCAGGTAACTTTTTAGATGAAATCTAAGATGTTAGATAGTAAATAGTCCCCTTTGCTAAATCTCTTTTCATTAGGCATAATTTTCAGCCTTGCACAGTACTTCATGGGTTTTGTTTTTAACCTCGTGCTATACTGAAGCGTCTCATTGATGTGACTGTTCCTTGCCATTTCTTTACCAGTAACATTTTCTTCTCATTGACAACTAGTAGCTATAGAATTCTCATTAAGTTCTTTTTTAGTACTCAACCCCACAGTGAAGTAACCTCTTGTTAGCTTGTCATATGAGACGATCCTTAGCTTGACTGGGGAGGAAAATATGAGCACTTTGCAGGTTTAACCTTGGGGCCCAGACACATAGTACACAAACGGAAAACATGGAAGAGTTTCTTGGAAAATCAATTAGGTTGCGTACTAAGTAGTTCAGCAATGTTCTCCATTAAAATGGCATTATGCCCTGCAGTTCCCCATCAAAGGTCAACTTTGCCACAGCTCTGAAATTTTCCACTGTCCTTTGCTTTGAAGGTTTCCACTTAGCATGGGCCAGGGTTTTTTCAGCTGGCAGTAGGTTGTTGCATGAGCTAATATCAGTCTCTAATCTGTGCTTTGGTTTCCTTATTTATAAACATAGATTATCTGTCAAATCCCTTTTTGTAAGTCAGTTATTTCTTATATTTAATGTTGCATTAAATGAGAAAGACGTTGTATAATTTGGCAAAATCCTAGGTTCTGTTAGGCTCTGTGTTTACTTTGAATGCATTTGTCCTAACAACCCTATTATCTATTTTTCCATTTTAAACGTTCTTTTATGAAAGAATATGGTCTGAAGTCTCATTATATCCTTACCAAGATACATTGCCTTTTTACTGTTAGGTAAAGGGATTGATTCATGGTGACTTGCACCTAAGCCAGCTTCTCCTTAATTTTGTTATATCCACTTCTACCACTTGTAGGGCCCAACTTCCTTTAAATGTGCCAAAGAATTTGAATTTTTCATCAAAATAGTGTGTCTAGCTTCCCAGCAGTACTGTAAGACATTTACTTGAGGCTGCCAGTGTTGAATGTCAGAATTTTATCTTGTTGCTACTTTATCCATTTTTAAAACAGTCTTGAATATGGTGGGGTGGTTGTTGTTTTTAACGTGCTGGACTGTTTGGAATTTTGTGCAATGGCAGGAGACTAAGGTGTTCTTTTAAATCTTGACGGCATACTGTTTTTGCCCTCAAAATTAGAGGCTGATTGGTGACTAGGCTGGTCTTGATGGGTAACTCAGTAGGTAAAACAGGATGCTAATGATTATCCAGTATGTTTAATGCTAAGAGCATTCGATTGGGGATCTGGAGACTTGAAGGGAAGCCTGGCCCTAAATTGCTTTTTGAGACCTTGGGGAAACCTTTCACGAAAAATAATAAATGAACGTTATACAAATGTGCACAAACATTCATAACACTATTACAGAATAGCCAAAAAATGGAAACAATCCAGTGCATGGATTAAAAAAATGGATATTACTCAGCAGTTAAAGTGAAATGAAGTACTGTTCCGTGCTACATTGTGGATGAATCTAGGAAGCAACTGTGCTCAGTAGAAGCAGCCAGTCACAAAAGGCCGTATGTTACATGAAATATCAGAATAGGAAGATCTATAAACCAGAGGTAGATTGTGGTTGCCTAAGGCTGGGGAAGTGGTGAGTTAGGGTAGGGAATGTGAGGAATGACTTCTAATAGGTACAAGGTTTCTTTTTTGGGTAATGAAAGTTTCTAAAATTAGGATTATATTGGTAGTCGCACAACTCTGCAAATAGATGAAAAACCATTGACTGAACACTTTACAAGGGAAATTTGTTATATGTAAATTATTTCTCAATAAATCTTTTAAAAATGAAGTCAAGTGAGTTTATTTTCAAGATCTCTTCGCTTTTTTATTTTAATGAGGCTACGTGTGCTGAGTGCTCAAATTTTATAATTCATAGAAAATTAAGTAGAAAGCAGTGCTGTATACTGATGGCTTTTTTGAATACGTGTATGCATCTGATTGTCCACTAGAGGACAGCAGAGCCTGTTTTAGCCATTCCTCGCCTGTTCTCAGTAACACTCTTCTAGGAACTGAACCTAAAATTCTCAAATTTATATTCCATTGAAGAGATTTTGGTTGTTATTACAGTAAGACAATCTGTGTTACCAAGTGTCAGCTCTCCATTACATCAGGGGGAGAAGACCAGTGAGGCAGCTGTGATGCGGACCTCACATCCTACTGAGGAGCTCTATGAGAGAAAATTGTGTTATATTTTGAAGGCAGATGTTGAAATATCTGCACTAGAGGTTGGAGTAAGGAATGAGTCAGTTTCCACTAGAACTTAAGTGGCTTTTTAAATCGATTTTTGGGGGTGTTTATATTACTTACCGTATTATTCGTAAATTTATACACACAAGGCTCTCAAAGATTCTCTGTTTCTTTAGGAAAGAGAAAGGACAGCCTTTGTTCCCTTCCCTCAACCCTCACACCCTAGCTTCAGTAGTTCAACTGTCTTTGTCCCTTGGCAGCTCTCTTCTAAAGCCTGTGGCCTTCCAGGATAACAGGCCTTTCCTATGGGAGGAAGTCAGTTACTTAAAATAGACCTTTTTGCCTAAGACAGGGCAGTGAAATCCAGCAGGGGTGTTGTCAGTTAGCTAGAGCTAGCCAAGTTGTAAAAGTAGCCGGCATTGCTGACTTAACTTGAGTTCCGTCATGACCGAGTTAAGCATGTGACCTGCACAAGATGGATGATAGTAAGACAACCCAGTCTCAGCTTCCGGTGGGTTGCCTAGGCTTTACCTTGTCCAACTCAGTTGTCGACATGGATGCTTACCTAATTGTTGGGGCAAAAAGTGCTTTGAAAACATCCCCCCCCCAATCTGCCTTTTGACTAATAAAACAGCGAAACAAATAAATGAATTGTCTTAAAATGGCATTTTTCTTCCTCCTCAGAATGCATATTTTATAGAGAGAGGGTTGGAAATTCCCAGTTGTATTTTTCCTCCATCCTGTTTTGCTTTACTAATTCTAAATTAATTTGCATTTTCTGATTATGGGAGGAGGCAGTGCAAGTTATGCTGAGAGTAACTGCCCAGAATGAAATGAGGCCAACCCCCCTGGAACTTTACATTTGTCACTTAAGTTAAAAGCTGGTGATAAAGTCAAGAGGAGTATTTTGTGTCAGTACTTAATACTTTTAAGAATTGTAGAATACTTTATAGGTACTGTTTACCATTTCTAGGCCCTATAGTCTGGGATCATGGTATATATTTGTGCAGTAACTGATAATCTTGTTGACCAAAATTTTATTAGCTACATGACATTGTTGCATGCTAGCATTTACACAGTTCAAGTGGTCCTGCTTTTAAATGATACTGAATCTTTAGTAGAAGAGATCTGTCTCCAGTCATTCTCCACCCCCACCCTGCCCTTGAATTCTTTGTGTGACCTTTGGCGAGTTTTTTCCACCCTTCAGAGCCTTGATTTCTTCCGTAAGATAAATAGGTTAGACTGGAGGAGTTCTAAGGGGTAAATGTACTAAGGATTCCTTCTTACCTTTACCTATTCCTTGTCCTCTCTCAGTGTATACTTTCTGTCAGTATTATATGAATAACCCACATTTCATGACTTGAGGTCATGATAGTAATGCTGGCCTTGTTTGGTCTCTCTAGGTCGCATCTGCTCTGGAAAAATGGAAGACAGCAATCCGTGAAGCTCAGACTTTTTCCAGAATGCATGTTCTGCTTGGGATGCTTGATGCCTGTATCAAATGGGACATGTCAGCAGAAAATGCTAGATGCAAAGTTTGTCGAAAGAAAGGTATATTTAAATCAGAGTTGCTTATCTGAGTGTATCAGGCCCTAGGACTACCATTTCCAAGATCTTCTGTCTCCTGAAGAACTCTGTGTACACAGCTTTTAAATGTGATGGAACAGATTTTACCTGCTCTTAAAGGTCTATAAAATGCTAGTGTTTTAAATCACATGCCAGCAAATCAAAGTGTGCCCTTTGTTTCTCAATTTTGAGTAGAACGTGAGCAGTTGATCTGTCCAATCCTTAAATTTTCTACAGGGGACAAAATTAGTTAACCTAAACTTTTACATCTATTTCATTATCTCTGAATTTTAGTCACCATGAAGTAAGATGGGTGCTACCGGTAGAGGGCAGTATTTGTACATTGTGAAGAATACTTGGGTTTGGACCTTCTAGCATTGACTCCTACAGAGCAAAGCATTTGGAACTGTTTAATACTGAGAGTTTTCAAAGCCCCATTATATATAAAAGGAACTTGATGGCTAAAAGCCCCTCAGTGATTGACTTCTCAGTGGCTAAAGCTATCTTGTGACTTAGGTTAGGATTTGATTTCCACGGATGAAAAGACCTACATAAAATCATTGAGTTGCTCTAAAAACTGATGTAGAATAAAGGTTGGATTGGGGGTAATCATTTAAATTGATTTGGTTTATTTTCAAAGGTGGGGAAACCGAATGGTTTAAGAGAACCATATCAGATATGAGTTTGGAAGCATTTGAAGGGTCAGGAAGGAAGAGGAAGGGCAGAAAATGTAACAGTTCATGGGGGATTCATTTCTTAGTGGGAGAGGAGCAGCAGAATTTCCTGCTAGCACTTGATTTTTGCTACCTCCTAGTAAATGTTAACTGTCTTCTAGCCCTGGGTAGATTTTTGGTATATAAGTTAGAAGACCTGAACCCTAAATTACCTATAGTCTAGTTTGTGCTACATCTCTTTTCAGAAGATGACTGCATTTTAAAAAATGAGGTGGCGCTGCACTGTTGTTCCTCCACAGTGTTCAGGCTATGCAGCTCTTTCAGGGCTGTGGCCGTGCTCCTGACAGTGCTGTGTAAGTTTCTCTTCTTGCAGGTGAGGATGACAAGCTGATCTTGTGTGACGAGTGTAATAAAGCCTTCCACCTGTTTTGTCTGAGGCCCGCCCTCTATGAAGTACCAGATGGTGAGTGGCAGTGCCCAGCCTGCCAGCCTGCTACTGCCAGGCGCAACTCCCGTGGCAGGTGAGAGTTTCTTCTTTTAAAAGCAAATACATTAATTAAATAGCCGTTATACTTAAGCTTCAGCTACTCAAACTGAATAATGCTGAGGAGCTATAAAGTTCATCTTTTGAGTATAGAACCCAGTTGTTTAAGGTATTACAGTGGGAGCTCAGAGGGCTCTGATTTTATTTTAGCTTAATGTCGACATTTCTAGTTTTTGTTACCAGCAGTGTTTTGTATCTTCTTGACCATACCTTCTTATCAAATAACAACAAATATCTCTCTGTCATCTGCTTCCACCTTGCCCACTTCTTAATTTGTGATGACTTCTGCAACTAACTACTGCTAAAAATCCTGAAAACTCACTACCTTCCTTACCCATACCTACTGTTTTCCTTCCTTATCATGATTAGAACTTTGATGTCAGCTTGGACATCTTCCTCTCCCTCATCTCCATATTCGTTCATTTGCCAGATGTTATCAATTCCATGTCTAGATGTCTTATGAATCAGTCTCCTGCTGTCATTCAGCCCTCTTACTTCTCTCTTCTAGGCTCCTTCAGTGGCTTGTCAACTCCTTATCTCAGACCATCCCCCTCTCCTATCCATCTAGCTTTTGTGGTGATACCAGAATGGTTTATTTAAGACAAAGATCTGCTTTTGTCACTGTTCTGTTAAAAAAACTTCGGTCTTCCCATTGTCTCTAGAATAAAGTCCAAACTCCCTAAGCCTAACTTTTAAGACTCATATACAATACTAGCGTGAGTATTTATGAGCCCTCATTCCCATGTTTGTGTTTGTTATAGACTGTTCATTGTGCATCCTTGCCTCTTGTGCTTTCTCCCGGCTGGGAATGTTCCCTGTCCCTAGAACTCCCACCTGAGGAAACTGTCCACCGCCTACCTAAAATTTCACTGCTTTTTAAAAACGTCCTTACATCCTTAGGGTTAATTGTTTCTTCTCTATGTTCCAACTCAGATTTCTCTAAAACATTATTTTGATACATCTTGCCTTTGTAGTTAGTTTTATGCACACTGTCTTCCCATAAGATTGTTAGTGCCCAGAGAGTAGAGGTGGTGCTTTGTTTTTCACCCTAATCCCAGTAAGGTGAAACACAGGGCCTTGTAAAGAGGAGACACCTACTATTTGCCAAGCTAATACCATTGTTTTCCACATTGAAATATGAGGTTATAAAAGAGCAACTTATGGGCACTCTGGCTTGGTCTGTCTCTGAAAGGGCAGAGCTGTTTGATCCTGAGCCTACCTAACAGCATTACTCGGTTATTTCTCACTCCACTCCAGCTACACTTAGAGAGATGAAGCATGCTGCTCTGAAATGGTGGGGCTTTGGACCAGCTGTTCTGAGCTGGGATTACCAGTGCTTTGATGTTATGGTCATTTGCAAGCTGTTTCAGCTCCTGGAAGGGGGCCATGAAGGTGGAGTAACACCTGTCTGGGCTGTTTATCCTTTCAGTCCACCCCAGAGTTGGGGACAGCCTTTAATACCTGAAATGTTACATTATCTGGCTGGTTTTTGTGAGACAAAAGGAATAGAGTTCTGTATTATTTTGTGGGTTGAGGGGTGAGGTTGCATTTTGGTTTTGGTTTTTGTTGCCATTGGTATCTTATCCAAAGCGTTTGGGGCTATTGGAGGAGGCATGCTGTTGACACTCAGGTTTTCATTCTGCTTCCTGTGTCCTGGCCTAGATTCAGGTTCCCTCCCTGAATCATCAGATCGGTGAAGTCTGTGGAAAGGAAAAAGTTGCCAAGATTTAGGTGGAACTTCACCTTTCTTAGGGCTGCTTCGGCCTAGATCCATGTTCTCTACAAGTATTCCCCTCCCCCCCATACAGGAATTACACTGAAGAGTCTGCCTCTGAGGACAGCGAAGGTGATGAGAGCGATGAAGAGGAAGAAGAAGAGGAGGAGGAGGAGGAGGAGGACTATGAGGTGGCTGGTTTGCGATGTAAGTATTCCCTTGACTTTCACAGTTGGCATCACAGTCTTCTGAGCTGACTTGGAAAGACTGGGTCAGCAGCAGACACCTGCTGTTGCCATCCTGCCGTCTTCCTTTTCCCATGCTGTGGCTGTGGGGTGACTCTGCTGCCATGTTTTAAATGCGTTTTCAAGATGCCAGTTAACTACCTTCCTAGTAGGAGGTTGGGTGGCTTGGTTTCAACATCAAACTATGGCAGATCCACTTGGTCTAAGGTCTAGTGGAATTCGAGGCCTCAGGTATGTTAATGGCAAGTCTGCTGGTTTTGAAGCCCTCAGTGTGGGGTAACAAAGATCTAGGCCCATTGCCATCTCTAACAGTTCTTGTGGCTTCTGGTGCAGTGTTGCTTTTACAGAAGTTATTTTTTCTCTGGTTACAGTGATTTTCTCTTCCCTGTAGTGTGCAGGGCTGTAGATTTGCTAGTTTGAAAAGAGACTTTTTCCCACGGTTTAGGTGGTGGTGTCGGGAAAGTTCAGCTATGTTTCTCACTAGACAGCAGCAGGGAAAAAAGGCCTCCTCATTTATGCTCGCCTTGTAGACATAATCTCTCATGTTCATTTTTCCTGAAGCTTTGAGAGTCGTGTCATTTTAATGGTTAAATGTTAAGTCCTGCAGTCTAGCCTTTTAACAGCCTCCCTTTTTGCAAAATATACCCTTCTTTGTAGGTTAATAGAAAAGAAACCACAGTTGAAGATTTTGATGAGCTTTTGAAGAGAAGTACAGTTCCCAAGATCATAACTCTGACCAGTTGTGTTTGGTATAAGGAGAGAGAGGGTGTTTGGCGTGCCCAGGCCCACTGCACTGGCGCTCCCCAGACCAGAGGGCTTTGGGCTTGTACTCCTGCTCCTGTCTTCCCTGATCCCACAGATTTTAATTTGGGGCACCTACATTTCTCTCATTCCCACAGGGCTCCCTTTGTTCACATGCCATGAATTTTTTTTATAGGTATCCAGGGTAAGGAGACAAGTAACCTGTTAACCCTGCAGGACCACTGAGTACTGCCAGAGAGTTGTGATTTGGATGCATGGTTGTCTAGGAACAGATTCTGTATATAGTGGCGTACTGATTTTGTTTATTTCCCAAGTAGTGGTTGCTTTCCACTTTCAAGTTACTGCTCTCTTTCCAAGGAATTGTTTTCCTCTCCAGGTTTCTGGGGCCTTGTCTACCAAAAGGATCTAGGAAGTATCTGGTACTTCAGAGCCTTTTGTCTACTCTGCCTTTTAGTCCACCAGTGACGTGGTTCCCTAGTACAACTCAAGGCCCTGGACTGCTGGCTGCCCCTAGCAGCCTGCCTTTCATCCTTGGCATCCCATCTTCTTACTCTCTTCCTAGCCTGGTCTTGAACTTAAAGAACCTAAAATAGTCAGTGAAGGGGCATTCATGGTCCAGAAGTAGACTATAACAACATTGGGTATTGATTCTCTGTATCATTGCTTCTGCATACCCCCATCTCTGTCCAAATGCCCATCCCCCCTTTCTGGGGGAAAATTTGCTTCGGGGAGAAGCTTTGAGCTAATCCTTGTGGAGCATTGAGGACGTATTGAGAAATACTGGTTTGTCTGACGCTGAGCACCTGTAGTAAACCTGAGATACAGACAGTCTTGGGTGCCTTGTAGTCTTTATTCTCTCTTGGGGGATTCTGGGCTCCTGTGGAAGTGGCCTGGCCTACTGTCTGTGGTTTTCAGAAATACAAGAAAGCAGGACTGGGGCTAGCCTTAAATTAGATTCAGTGAGGAAGAGTACACATAAGTATCAGCTTTTCTCTGAAAAGATTGTGGTGGTGAGTGTAGGATAACTGGGGATTATGAAACAGGATCTATTCCACACTCAAATTCCATCTCACATGTAAGTACATACATTCTCAGGCTGAGCTTGGGCTGTGGGAATCCCAGCAGACGCATCAGCAGATGGCCTTTCCTCCCAAGTGAGTCAGTTTACAGTTGACTCCTCATTCCTGGGAGTAACTGAACAGGGTGGGGACAGAGGGTGGGCATACTGAAGGAACTGGCCTTCTGAAGAGACTCTTAAAAGGTCTCTGGGAGATGATGAAAGGTAGCCATTCTTCCTCTGCTACTGCAGCCTAGTGTTCCTGTGAGCTAGGCAAGTGCACCCCTGACCAAAGGAAGTCATCGCTTTGCTCGTCCAGAGTATCGCCCTTTTCGTGGGCATGCTGCCTTCAGCCTCAGTTCTGCTCTGAACGCATATTTTTTGTTTCAGTGAGACCTCGAAAAACTATCCGGAGTAAGCAGGGTGTCATCCCCCCTGCAGCAAGGCCAGCCCGACGACCAGGTAAGAAGCCGCATCCTGCCAGGAGGTCCCGGCCCAAGGCACCACCTGTGGAAGATGCCGAGGTTGATGAGCTGGTGAGAATTACTTCCCATCCGCCCTCCAGCATTTGTTCCGTACCCCCAACTCCAGTCCTGGGAACTCATCAGGCGACAGGTGGAGCCTCCCCCTGCTCCCTCCTCCCTGACTTTGGAGGCTGATGGGGCAGATGGGTGGGCCTGGAGGCAAACGAGGCGGCAGGCCCTCCAGGAACGGCTATGTCCGGCATCCCTGCTGCAGCCTGCAAGCGTCTCCTCTCGTTAACAGGCAGCCTACGACTTGTTAAGGATTTTAAAATAGTCTCCATGTGTCTCCCGTGGCTCAGAGGGGCTGGGTCTCTGTTGTGGGAATGTCAGCAATGTTGGAGCCTCACTTACTCTTGGGTCTTTCGCCGACAGTTGTCACGGGAGGGACATTACCCTCCCCTCTGCTCCTCAGCCAATGTAATTTTAGTGGTTTTGATTTAGATTTCACTTGAGCTTTGAAGAACGAAAAGAGGCTCTTGAAAACTTGGTTGTTTTGACAGATCAAGTTGGAGCAGGAGTGGGCTGGGGTCATAAAGTAAGCCATTAGAGAGCCCGGAGGGCATTCAGAGCATCTCCTGCTTGCCTGGCCCTGACCCCTCAACTCTGCTCCTCCTGCTGTGAGTTACAGCCTGTTACTGCCCCTGGAAGGAAGGCCCTGCTCCTTTCTCTTTAGCCACTTAGCTCCCACAGGCCTGCGGGCAGGACCCCAAGAAGGGAATTGTACCTCTTGCTTTTTTTTCCCTCAGACATCCCAGCCCCACAAAATTGGCTGCTGGTGGTCCCCATAACCCGCCTGGCTTTCTGCAGTTGCTTGTTTATACTCATCCATGGTGTTACCATAATCCCAGGTCCATCTGCTCTCAGAGAGCTAGCGTGCTATTGACAGTGGCCCTGTCTAGCTGACCTCTAGCAGGACCACTGTAGTTCAGCAGCTGCAGCCTGCCTCTGCTGCTTTGATCACTGTCCACCAGGGAGGAGGCAGGTGGGCTGATGCCCCCTGGCTGAGAACACTTCCTGACTGGAAGTCAGATGATTTTGACCGTCTCTCATCCAAGAAAATGGTTGAACTTTTTCTTTTTTTTTAAAGCAGATATACATGTTTTCTGCCCTGTCCATTCTTTTTCTCTTGGACCTGCAATAACATGTCTTCTTTCTTTGGGGCCAGGTGCTTCAGACCAAGCGGAGCTCCCGGAGGCAGAGCCTGGAGTTGCAGAAGTGTGAAGAGATCCTCCACAAGATAGTGAAGTACCGCTTCAGCTGGCCCTTCAGGTGGGCTTCGTGGCCGCAGGCACAGAGGAGTAGGGCTAACCTTGCAGCTGGTGGAGGGCATACCAAGCTGAACCCCTAGGAACTACCCTGATCCCTTCCCTCAGGACACATCTCAGTGGCAGGGAAATTAGCTTCCCAAACTGTCAGAGACAGCTCTGAGTACAAGGTGAACACATCTACTCTGCCTGCTGGTTGGCTGATCTCAGCAGGATGGGCATTCTGGGGCTGGTGGTTTGGTAACAGTGTCTGTCCATTGGATTCAGGGCTGTGCTAATCTCTCCATTTGGTTCTTCTCTAAGGGAGCCTGTGACCAGAGACGAAGCTGAGGACTACTATGATGTGATCTCCCATCCCATGGACTTCCAGACAATGCAGAACAAGTGTTCCTGTGGGAGCTACCGCTCTGTGCAGGAGTTTCTTATTGACATGAAGCAAGTGTTTACCAACGCTGAGCTTTACAACTGCCGAGGCAGCCATGTGCTAAACTGCATGGTGAAGACAGAACAGTGTCTGGTGGCTCTGTTGCATAAACACCTTCCTGGCCACCCATATGTCCGTAGGAAACGCAAGAAGTTTCCTGATCGGCTTGCTGAAGATGAAGGGGACAGTGAGCCAGAGCCCATTGGACAGTCCAGGGGACGAAGACAGAAGAAGTAGAGAGGCAGGGCTGGTAAGGGAGCTGAGGCTGGGGGAATCGAGGGAGAGAGCAGGGAGGGTGGGAGGGAGATGAGAGAGGAAGCTGGAGAATGCGGAAGGGAGGAGGTCCCTGGGAGCCCAGGAATGCCTTCATCCCAGGCTCGGGCCCTGTTTCCCAAACTCTCCATGGGCCTCAATCGAGCAGAGCACTTTGGAGAGCCTCATACTGGGTTGGTGGTCTTTGCCCAGAAATACTGTGGGGGTAGATGGCCTTAAACCCCCTTTCTGAGAGTTTTCTGGAAGAGTCCAAGGGTATGGCTTTTCTTGTAAACCCAGTTCCTTTTCTTTCTTTTTTCCTAAGGTCCCTCCCACTTTGGCCACCACAACAGTGCCAAGCCCTCTGGTCTCCAGGGGAGGGATTACTGTATTACGTAGAAGGATGAATGGTAATCAGGCCAACTGGGAAGGTGGTGTCGATTTTTTTAACCTATATTTATACACAGTCTTGTTTCTTTAAGCCCGTGCTCTGTCTCTCCCTCCCTCTTAGGTGACGGTATCAGTGAGTGCCATACAGAATTCTGTATTCACCAGCATCATGAAACAGTTGTGGTCTGTTGAGTTGATCTTGGCAGAGTAAAGGGACATGTTCTGCAGCCATTCCTGAATACCCTTACCCTTCTTTCTGACAGCTCCCTCCCTGCTCCCGCCCCCACCTCACCCCCTCAAAAAAACCTAAGGCACTTCACTCAGAGACTGGAGCCCTGCTTGTAACCGTGCATATAACCTTTACTTTGATGGGTCTGGCCAGAGGGGTGTTGGAGCCTAGCCCACCCACATACCAGACAAGCTCTTACGGGAGCAGAAGAAAAGCAGGAAGAATTTAAATGTTTAACTTTTTTTTTTAAATTGACTTTTCTAGTTATTAATGGTTGCTTGTTTCAGCAGTGATATTGTATAAAGAACATCTTGTAAAAATATTTGTCATCTTGCTTTGGCACATGTACAGTACAATTTATATGATAACGTGTTTGCTTTACTTTACCGCATCTCAGCCCATCCTCTCTCCTTCAGAGAAGTTGGGTTGGAGCTCATCAGGGCAGGCAGTGGAACCTGGTCAGGATGGTCCCTCTGCCTGCCCTGGTGGCCGTTTCCGCCGCCCCGACCTGCAGCTGCCCCTGCCATGCTGTTCTGGCCTCAGAGTTCCAGAATCTCAGTGCTCTGTGTTGGGGGGAGGGATGGGGAATGGAGGGCAGGAGGAGGGGCGCAGCGGCCCCATCCCACAGCGAGTCTAGTTAGTAGTTATGTTTAGGGAAAACTTTGTAGTCTTCTTTCCTGTTTATGGCAGATTTTGATAAAAAAAGCAAAACAGGGTTTAATTTTCTTTTCTATAAACTTTGAATTTGGAAATTTGGAGCACCTAAGCTCTTCTGTACCTTACTTAAGGGAAAAGAAATCCACCAAGGGGATTGCAGCTCACAGAACCTGAGAATAAAGCCTCTTAAAGTGAAACTTCCAAGCTGTGGTCCCTGTCTCCCCATCCTCCTTGCCTCCTTGGGATTTGCTCCAGGGACTGCTGGATAGGTTTACCGTCCTGGCTCCCGCAGGCTTGGGGTTAGCACTGACGTTACCATTTCACAGTCCCATCTGCCAGCACCTTCCCTGCCTTTTACCCTAGAGCCAGTCTGTTCTTGTTAACAGTGAGAATTCCGTGTTCCCACTTCAGTGATACCTGAGTTGTTTGTTGTTTTTTTAAACTGTCTTTACGGAGGAAGGGCCCCATTAAAGGGTAAACTTGTAATAAATTGGAATTTCAAATAAACATTATGTACTTGTGTTTATAAAGAAGAAACAATTCTGGTGAATTTTTCTTTGTGCTGTTGGAGGTGGTAGCAGACAGTGCAGCCCCAAGCACTGTTTTCCCATGGCCTCTTGGAACCAGTTCTTCAGGCTCAAGAGGACCTCTGGCTTAGTCTTTTTAAGCACAGGTCAGATCCATCTACTGCATTTCTTTGCTTCCAGGAGAAATTTCTGGTGCCCTGGGTAACTGAAGCCAAGACCTCCAAGCTTCTCCTGGCCTTGTCTCTGTCTCAGCCCCCCTCCCCAGATTTCATTAGAAACTTCTAGGAATTAGGAGGAAGTATTTTTTAAGGCTTCACATGGGAATTTGTGTAGTCCTTTAGGACTTAACTTTGGGGTAACTCCTGACATTTTAAAACACTTTTCTTTTCAAGGAAAATTTCAAACATACAAAACAAATTCCCATGTACTGAGCTTCAACAATCCTACCGCATAGCCAGTCTTGTTTATTCATGCCTTCATTTATTTTTTATGCTGGGAGTTTATTTTATAAAGTCAGAGTGGTTGATTGGAGTAGGTCACCGCAGGGCGACAGCCCGCCTGTGGAATCCCAGGATTCTGCCGAGCCGCCGCATGATCCCATTTACTGAGAAGTGAAACCGCCTGCTTCTGACCAGCTGCACCGGGGACAGCACAAGGTAAAATGGGAGGAAATTTGAGGAGAAACCTAAGCCCTGGGTGCGGGTTCTGCCACTGACTGGCTTTGTGGCCTTGGAGAGCATGGGCTTCCAGCCAGGCCTGCACCGAGCCCTGGGGATTTTCAGCCCTGCTGGGGAGGAAGCGGTTTGCCCCAAGGTCAGATTGAATTTGACCAGCCTTCCAGCTCTGGAAAGGGAGTTGGGTTACCCCTGAGCATTTTCCCCACAAGCACAGCTGGACTAGGGGCTGCCAGCCCACATCTGTGAAGCCCTGTCCTGGGGTGGGTTTCTTACATGACACTAAGATAGTACCTGTGGGGCATTGTCACCTCATCTAGGGTCTGTATCCTGGTCTTTTTTGATTGTCCCAGCCCGTGCCTCCCTAGCAGGGTGTGACCTTGGGGGAAGCACCTGATCTGGGTTGACTGCTGCAGATGGAGCCGAGAACTTTTTTTCTGAGGACAAGGGTCTGAATCATTACTCTGGTACAATCTCCCTCATCCTACCTACTCCTCTTTTTCCTCAAACCCCGTTCCTGGGGAGGGGGCACAGTCCGGGGTGGCAGTGAGGTGGTGGTTGGATTCCAAGGCAGCTACTCATGGGCGGTGTTGCTTCCACTAGGGAACCATGTCTCCAACTTGCCTGAGAGCCAGGGTCCCCTCAGCAGGATGCTGAGTGAGATACTCAAACCAGGTAGGAAGAAAAGGTTGCTGTTCCGTTACCACTTCTGCTGTAACCCTGCCCAGGGCCTCCAGGCCTTTTCACTGCCCTGGAGCATCCTCCTTTGGGGTGGAACTAAGCAGGGGGTGAGGGCAGCTACTGACCACCTGGGGCCTCTCCTCAGTCTGACTCCAGTGAACTTTGAATTGTTACCCTGGAACTGATGCTGACTGAGCTCAGGGCTCAGAAGTTCCCTTAAGAACAAGCTCATGCTTGGCCCTCACAGACAGGCTCAGTGGGCGTGGACATGCACATGTGCTGCTCTGAGGAGCCATGTGCTGGGCTGCCACAGCCACCGAGGGAAGGCGCGAGGGGTACACCCTGCACAGGCCAGCAGGTGTTGGTTTCTGAGGCATTTCTGTTGGGCTGTGGAATTTCCTTTTTGAGGGTTGGGGGAGAGGTTTCTGTGGACAAAACCACCCTTCCAACTCACCCCACGCCCTGCCAGAATCCACGGTGTGGGGGTCACAGGAGCTCTGGAGGCCACAGTCTCCCTAGCTGTGTGATCCTGAGCCAGTCAAGCCCTTCAAACGCTTCCCTTGTCCGTGAAGTGGGGAGAGGAGGATCATATGGAGGGCCACTGTGAAACATCTTCAGTACTGTTTCCGTCTTCCTTTTCCTCCAGAGGGGGACTTTTCCGTAGTATCTTCCAGCACTGAGATCCCTCCCTCTCTCCTAATTTCCAGCCTGTGTGAACCATCCCTGCCCCCATCCCAGTTGTCCTAGAAGCCAGTCTTGTCTCCGCTGAGTGGGACATCGGGACATAGCCAAGTGCCACCCTCTGCCCCCTCCACTGACTGGCAAGGAATAGGGTGAACCAGTGCGGCTCCTGATATTCGCCCTCCCCTCCACCCTTGGCCCATGCACATCACTTGTCTTTCTCTTCCCCTTCTCTGGAATCCTCTCATGACTCTGGCTGCCCCTCCCTTGAGCAGCAGGCCCTGAGCAGCTTCAGCTTGACTCCTACAAATCTGCAGCCACTGCCCCTCCCACTCCCAACTTGAGCCCCTGTCACCTTCTGTATACTCCTTCTGTTCCTCAGTCAGGGACCCTCACGGGGGTTTCAAGGTGTTACGGTCACTTGGCTTTGCTGGTCAAAGGTGGTGTGGGGACTTCCTGTGTTCTCTATGAGAAGGGCAGGATTTAGATGGGGGGTGACATTCTATGTGCAAGAAAAACATAAGTAAAGGTGTGAAGATCACAAAATTCCCCTGGGAATCAGTACTGTTAATTGTGGTGAGGGACAGCCCCTTCCCCTCAACCACTGAGGGAGCTGACACCACCTGTTTGATCTCCATTTGGTTTCTTGTCCCTGTGAGATTGGTGGTTGGTGCAGGGTTAAGGGCTCTGGGTTTGTGGGGCGGGGCTCAGCCCTACTCTTGATACTGAAGTAGTTGACCTTGGACCTCCCCTTGGCTGGCAGTGGGGCTGGACCCTTGGGTCTTCCTGGCAGTGACAATGTAACATGCACCCACGGACAGTCACCAAGATGCTCACAGTGGCCAAAGTAGAGGCCAAGATGGGACCCCCAAGGTCTGACCCCCATGCTGATGGAGACAGGGTCTTCAGGATGGCCACACACAGCTCACAATGGACAGAGGTGGCACAGGTCCCAGCAGCCCTGCACTTCCCTGGCACCAGATACACACAGTACCTTTTCCTAATCCGGTACACGAATATGCAAGCTGCCTCAGGTGAGCCCTGCCCCTGCCCCATTTCTCACAGCTGCACTCAGCACCTCAAACCTTTCCACAGCCCTTTAGGGGCTGGGGGCCCGATTCCCACTATCCTCCATATCTCTATGCCTGAGTATACTACCAAGATGCTGGCTAATAGTCCAGCCCCTTCACCCAGAGGATGAGGGGGTGAGTGGGTGCTCTGACCAAGGAGTGAAGGGGCTACATCAGTAATCTTCAAAAGCAATGAGGACAGTCAGAGTCCAGCCTCAGCCCTCAGGCCCCAGGGAGGGGACGGCAAAATAGATCCACAGCGAGACAGTGGGAGCAGGTCCATCTGGAGGACCTTTGAGACAGGCTGATGCCCTCATTTTTTACATACATGAGGAAAGCGAGGTCTTACAGCTCCCATACAGGCTAGTTTCCCCAGGGTCAAAGGTGGGAGTGTCATCCCAGGGGATTCCCTGAGTATCCCAGCAGGCAGCCCAGTCTCACCTTGGGCAGTGGAAACTCAGGGCTCAGACAGGCAAGCAGGTTGCCAAACGGAGCAGATAGGCCAGAGGGGAAAACTCACTCCAGGAGAATCTGGGACTCCTGCAAAACACAGCTGTTTCACAGCAGGATGTCCTCCTGATTGCTGGAAGGGGATGAACCGAGCACCCACCCCCAGCTCTGCTCACATGGGAGACTCCTGCAGGGCCCTTCCCCTCCTACCTTTCCCGTCTCAGCCCAGAGAGGACTCAGCGGTGCCACACGGGGGTTTATTCCAGTCACAGCTTCCAGAGAAACTCAACAATAAATTACATCATTAAATAAACTCCCTGCTGCACCACGCCCCCTTGTACCTCTCCTCTCCACATTACCTCTGCCCCAGTACCCTGTGGGGACCCAGCCAGGTCCAACCCCTGCACTAGGTTACAGGGGAGTGAGCCTCACTGGGTCCTGACAAGTGAGGGTTGAAGAGTCTACCCGCCCTGGACCTGGGCCCCCCTGCACTCACTTGCCTGACCTTGACAGCTGGGCAGCTGCTAGTCAGCTGTCTCCTCCGGAGGGGGGCTAGGAGGGGGCAACAGCCGCCCCAGGCAGGCCTGTGTCCCTAGAGGTGTGTGGGGTTCTCCAGAGTAGGGTCCGTCTTAGTCATGTGCAAGACGACGGTGGGGGCCTTATAGTGGCAGTGGGTGCCACGGCCATAGCCCCCCGAGGCCCGGCAGGCCTTTGCCCGGGCCCGGCCAGCTGCCATCTTGCGGTGGCATAGGCTCTGCCAAGTCTGGAAAGTCTTGGAGCTCCATACCCAGACGCCGCTGGTGATGCCCACCACCAGCGACATGAAGATTTTGAGCATAAAGACAGCCACCGTGGGCACGGAGCCCCCTTGCAGTGAGCAGTCCCTCCGGCCACCGGGAGTGGTGGCCGCCAAGCACGGCTGCTCTGTGGCCCTCAGGCGCCAGAAGTCCATGTTGAGGCGTTCATAGACGTAGCACACAATGACGCAGGTGGCGGGAACCGTGTAGAGAATGGAGAAGACTCCAATCTTGACCATGAGCTTCTCCAGCTTCTCCGTGTTGGTGCCGCCTGTCTTCATGATCTTGCGGATGTGGAAGAGAGCCACGAAGCCGGTCAGGAGGAAACTGGTGCCCAGCACCAGGTAGCAGGAGAGGGGCACCAGCACAAAGCCGGTAAGCGCAGCCGCATCCATGCTGGCCACGTAGCAAAGCCCGGTGAGCTCATCCCCCGCCACCTTGCGCAGTGTAAGGATAACGATGGTCTTGAGGGCTGGCAAGCCCCAGGCCGCCATGTGGAAGTAGCTGCCATGGGCCTCGATGGCCTCATGGCCCCATTTCTTGCCGGCGGCCAGGAACCAGGTGAGGGTCAGCACCACCCACCACAGCGAGCTGGCCATGCCGAAGTAGTAGAGCAGCAGGAAGACGAGGGTGCAGCCGGTATTCTCCAGTCCCTCCTGTATCACGTACAGCGCACCCGCCTCCTGGTCGCAGGCCACGCTCTGGGCCCCAGCCACCGCGCGGATGAGGAACGCTAGCGAGTAGACGTTGTAGCACATGGAGAGGAAAATGATGGGGCGCTCGGGGTACTGGAAGCGGTGAGGCTCCAGCAGGAAGGTGAGCACGGTGAAGGCGGTGGAGAAGAAGCACAGCGCCGACCACACGGCCATCCAGACGAGCGCGAAGTCCTTGT